GAGGGAGCACATCAGTGAAGAACAGGGAGCGAAAATGAGCACTGACAGAAAGTGATCGTCGTAAACTGAGCAGGATAATTTCGAAAAATCACAGAACTACTGCAGCACAGGTGAACTGCTGCAGAACTGACTATTTATCCTGAAGATCCTGTTTCCACCAAACTGTCGGACGTGAGGTTTTCAAATCCAATATCCTCTTCCCAAAGCGAAACACAAGGGATGTTCTGTGGTTTGTCCAGCCATATCGTGATACAGTATTCTGTTCGTCCCGTTATTGCCCTTCATGGCCGAATTACTGCAAGGGAGTGAGTGGACAGCTGGATAATCAGGTGCACCCCATAATCCAGAAGTTATTTCCGAACAACGATACAGTTTTCCATAAGGAGAGTACCCCCATTCATACCGCTGCAACTGTTCAGTCATGGTTCGAAAAGCATGAAGGTGAACTTCAATATTTTTCCTGACAAGCACAATCATCAGATTTGGAAATACGAACTGAACAATTCTGGTCACTTTTGGAGACTGGAGTGAGGAACAGATTCCCACCTCCAACATGTCTAAAGCAACTTGAAGATGTTCTTCAAGAAGAATGGTATAAAATTCAGCTAGAGACTGTTCAAAAATTGAATACTCCATTTAAAAAAATATTGCGGTTATACTGAAGTCAAAAAAGATGGCGCAACGCCATATTAATAAAGGCATGTGAACAGTATTTGTAGTAAGTTTTGAGGTTTTCACGGCGATGTCTATGAAGAAAATAGTCTTCTGGGATCTGGCGCCGTGTATTCTTTGTTTCAGCCGACGTTTCGGAGGAACGTATCGCCTCCATCTTCAGGGCAGGTGAATTGCAGGACGAGAATAAAAATTTCATAATAATGAAAATTATGATTTGTATTCTTTGCCAAAAATTATGACGTTCATCAAACCAAGAAGAATAAATTGGGAACGGTATGAAGAAAGGGTGCGGAACTGAGAAATGCGTACCAAATTTTAGTCAGTAAACCTATAAGGAAAAGTCAACTTGAGAGATCTGCGCATATGACGGAGGATAGTATTAAAATGGATTTTTTTAAATTATAGGATGAAAACTGTATTTATCTTGTTCAGGATAGCGAATTTTGGTGTGCTATATCTACGCGGCAATATAACTTTTGGTTCCATAAAATAAATACTCATTTTGAAGAGGTTCTCAAAAGCGATTCTGTCCATAGAGTAGGTTGATACATTTTATTACTTTAAAATTATATTTAAATTATTCCCTTCACTGAAGCATCTTAAATTCCGAGGTCTTCTCCCCGTCAGATAAAATTAATTGATCGAATTAAAGTTTGTCATCTCTTACTCTGACAGCAAGTTCATATCTCGGATAGTTTCGTCAGGAAGAGGCGCTATTCATCTCTAACAAGGCGAAATATTCTACGAAATACGGACTTCAGTTCACAGTCCCACAACGTCTTCTGCAAACATACTCAGCTGGGTTGCCAATTTAATCCGCTTAATGAGAGATGAAATCTCTTTTGTTACAGACACAGAAGTAAACAGAAACCTGAGAGCGTATATTGATCTCCTGAGATAAAATACGAAGAATGTAACGGCGGAGAAGAATGTTCAGCCATTTTGCAAACACTTGAGAGCGTTACTTCTGTAGTTATTTTTGAATTCTCACTCTCTTCTCGCTTTGAAAACATGTATTCAAGTAAAAAGTTCAACTATCCCCGTAACAGACCGTGGCTATCCATAGGGTATGTGAGACGTCGAGGCTCCCACACTTTCTAGACAATCGGCTCACAGATGGCTGTAAGGTTGTCAGCCCTACGCGCCGGGCCCCCTTTACCTCCCAGGAAGATTCGTAGTACTCATTTCTGTTAAGAGAATGAGTCGACCTCAAGGCCATAGTGCGGCTGGAAGGATTAGGTAAACTGAAAAAAATTGAGCTCATCGGGACTTGAACTGGCAAACTTCTGACATGTTCACAATCCTAATGTTCTGGGTTATGTAGTTCTTGTTATCTTTCCACATCTTAGTTTGTTCGTTTGTTTATTTTTCTGCATTAATGTGTACTTCCTCCAGTGCTTGCCTGTAATTTGTCTTTGACTTCATGCTGTGTTTGTCCATAATGTAATTACCTGTATCTGCACTGTGCCCTGTCTGTAATTGGTCTTGTGGCTGTTGACTCGGCACGTAGATATTGAAGAATTGAATTGTATTTAACTATACATCCATAAAGTATGTGTGAGGTGTTTCTATCTTTCTGGAGTCGTCTCAAGTACACCATTAGCTGTTAATTAAAATTATGAAACTAAATCGCCAATCACTGGAACTCCAGGAAGTCGTCAGATTCCCAGCAACTCACAAGGCAAGCTCATTCTACAAAGAGGCGTTACTTCCACCAAACCCCACAAGCACTACTAGCACTGACTTCCTGTGTCACCTGAAACTAAGTTCAAAGGAGGCACTAACAGCCATCTCCTACAAACACAAGGGGCCGCTTTCAAATCTCAGACTTTAAAACCTACGCTAGCCTAACGAATGAATCAGTCATACACAGTATCTGCTGGTAAGGAAAGTAGGCGACTAGTTCTTCCCAGAACTTCTTGTTTACTATTCAACGACGCTTTCGAAAGCTCAGATTATATAGCGTAGAATTACAGGAAAATTAGCGACTAATGAATCAGAAATATTTGGTAATTTGTGGTACTGTCCCAATATTTGCCTTAAGGAACTGAAAAAATTCACGAGAAATTTCGGTCGGGATTGTCGGGCCGAGATTTGAAACTAAGGACTCCCCGATGCAAAGCAGGAGTGCCAGCTACTACACCACGAAGTTTGGTTGAAAGCACGCCTATCTGGTGACAGACAGATATCCCAGGGGCTATTTTTGTATATTTAACTCTGACTGAGTGGGTCAGTTAGCCTGGGGAAACTAATATGGCGTGTTGCGTGGCTGTTGAAATTCAAATAACGTTTCGGTTGCATCTGGCTGACATCAATGCCAAGGAAGGTCAATATGACGCAGTTCTGCTTCTCATTATTTCTGTAGTTATCGTGATCATGAGCGAAATGTCAGTGGGTTATTAACTTTCATGTTTGTCAAGCGTATGACAGGACGCAACTCCAGTATTTTTTCAATGCGATTTGATATTATGAAATTCGCGGAAAGTAAACATCCCATTAGTTTGGATGACGATCCAGCTATATGGCGGAAGGCAAGCGTTGAAACATATATCATGATGTTTCTTTTTCAATGGGGTACTTCTGCCTTTCCATTTCTTTACTAACATATAAGCCTTCAGCACTAGTATTCTTCCCCAAATACTATAATTAGATTGACCGAGTCAAGGAGGACTAGATAGGCAGGGCATGTAGCACGCGTGAGGGGGGGGGAATTCAGAAGGAAAGAAACAACTCAGAAGACATAGGCATAGATGGGTAGATAATAACAGATCTCAGCGAAATAGAATGGAGTGGTATGGACTGGATTCATCTGGCTCAGGATAGGGACCAGTGGATGGCTCTTGTGAGCAATATAATGAACCTTTGGATTCCACAAAATGTTGGGAACCTCTCGAGTAACTTAGCCAATGGTGGCGTCTTAAGAAGGATTCAACACCAGGGAGGTAGTTGGTTATGCATTTGGACGAAAAATTTAATTTTGAAATTCTTTGGAACGTGTACTACAACAGTTTGCTGGAGATAACATTAACGCTATGATACAGAAAATGCATATGTTTATCTTCCGTCCTGCACTGCTCTAGGTTCCTTTTCAGGTCTAAGCTTATCTTTTGCCACCAAGGCATAGCACAACATTAGTCTGTGGACAGAGATTTCCTGTAGGCGCGCAGGACAGATGCGCATAAAGGCTACAGAAGAAGCAGCCGCGGACCGCCCTGCCTTCCAATTTGGAAGCTGGTCATGGGATTAAAAACATCGTTATCATCCTTATGGGATAGGCCACTGGCCTCTTCCAAACCAAGGCAACTGAGAAGACCATCCCTTCCTTGTTCTGCCCAAGTCTCTTCTTCCTCTAGGAGAGTAATCAAGACGATCTGACTACATAATATCACTGAAGGTTTCGAACTTGTGAGTGTGGACTCTATTTAATTGGCGGGGTCTAGAGAAAACGGAAATAAGCCTCCGGACGGCATTAAAGCGGGAAATTTCCCATGCAGAAGATCAGCATGATATGATGATTCTTCGTGGTTCCCTGTAACGTTTTAGTCCATACAGTTCAGTTTTTACTCCACAGATGGCGCAGGGACAAAATGGGTTCACAAATTCTCCATTTAATACTATGAGTTGGTTTTCATGGTTTGTTGACTAGGTTTGTTGCATAAAATTTTCCACCTCCCCTTCCATCTTAGTTCAACATCTGTGAATGATTTATCAAAAATTTATTGCATATTTGCCTGTTACCTCCTTCGACATAGCCTGGTTTCAGATGTTTATACAGCCCTGGTTATACCCGCGTGGAGGCGGGTTTGAATACCTCCACCGTAGCCCTGTGAGTCGCAGGAGGCAACGAAAAATGAATCCAGTGCCTGGGGATATAACTAAACTACCTTGTGCCTGGGGGGTATCAAAACCGGCACCTGTACCCGGAACTGTGAATGACTGCACTGGCGAAGGCCAGCAGCAATTGTAAACGACAGACCCAGCTTCTCGTCAAACAGGATGTTACATTAGGGCTATGACCGCAAGATTTCAGTTGAAAACAAAATATTGCTGTCCATGAGTCTCAAGGGGCTTGGCACCAAGACGAACTCACTGGCGGTAAACCGTCTGTCGTAAAGTAATTCTGACTCTGATGGGTTGTTAGCTCTGACTGAGGGACCCAATAGAATAGGAGCTAACACTCGCCTGAGGACGGAAACAGATTCGGTTTCCGAAACATTGTGTTCTCTAGTTTTTGGAATACCAGACAATGGACAAAGTTAAGAAAACAGTAAATCTGAGAAGAAACACTATTTCAAGTATTTCAAGAAGGACCATTTGTTACTCACTTTTTGTGAGCCTCATTGTTCTGGAGCCCTCTTTGGCAGACAGTAAGCCGTTGCATGTGGCGTCCCCCGACTGGGCCACGTCGTAGGTGGAGCGTCTCTCCCGACCTTGTCCCTGGCTGCGCTCGTAGACGAAGCAGCGGTAGCGGTCCTCATCACTGTGGGCCATGGCATGATGCAGCTTTCCCACCAGATAGCGTGTCGAGCCATCCTTCCATGAGGCCAGGCACACCAGTTCTTCCACTAATAACAGACAATGATATTTATTACGTCATGTGACACGTACTGTTTATATTTTCCACTTAGAGTTTAATAACGAAGAAGGGATATCTCAGTCTATATATTCTACTACCAACAGGGCCAAGATATTGTGAAGTGTATACCAATTGCTAGGCAAAGGGTCGGCAAACACACGCACACACAACAGGACGTATATTGCTAGGCAACGAAACAGTAAACACGCATTCTTGACAACAGAAGGTGTTTCACGTGGGGTCCGTGCAAAGTGGTTATAAGAAGTGGTGGGCAGGACAGTAGTAGAAGCAGCACTGAGTATACAACAGTAGCGACAGAGCAGTCGAATAGAACAGTCAGTTGTATTCTGGAATTATGTCAAGTTCTGAAGATGACAATCGAAGATTATTGAGAAGAAATGGCAAGGAAAGTACTAGGGAGTGTAACAGAAGACTTCACGGGTGATTTGAAGTTACAGTGAGACTGTGATAAATCCATTGCCAGGATATGGGTAGTGAAGACCGAGAATCCAAGTGCGTGTGCAACGATGAGCTGGAAAGTGTGTAGACTAGCGATAGAGTTAAATTGCCTGTAGTCCCGAACTGTGTGAATGTACGAGTATAAGGTGCAATAAATCCAATCATCGAATCCAAACCTAGTTTAGAAGTCACAATATTTATCTCTACCCCACAGCGTCCAGATATACTCTGGAGCCCTCTCAGCCTCTAATCGAATTACTACCAGGACCTCTTTCTCCGGGGGTAAAGCCGCCAGAGCCTGAACTGGCCAATCACCTCCATCTAGTATTGAAGTCAAGAATGGTGGAGCTATACCTCCGCTACCCATACATACTCATGGTATGGTGCTTAATTATTTTTTATTGCTAGTGGGGTGGAACTAAGTCCCTTGTACTGCGGTCACTTCTGGCCTATTGTGTCAGCCCCAGATGATAGGTGAGGGTGATTGTAGAGCAATTGGTGGAAAGAAGATGGCAGGGGAAACCAAAGCACTTGGAGGAAACCTACCCCAGCACCANTTGTCCACCACAAATCCCACTTGACCAGACCCGGGATCGAACCCGGGCCGCCGCGGTGGGAAACCAGCGACTAACCGTTTGAGCTATGGCGCGGCCCTGCTTAATTAAATAATAATTGAGGAAGCTTTACCTTTCACAAGATTTAATGTTATTTTATTGTGCAATTACGACAGAAAGAGAGAATTTCTTTGGTAGGGGGGAGCTTTCATTATTACCACAATTTTGACATAATGGGAAATCATAGTTTTGATAATGTGGACAAAACGAAGCGAATACAAACTGTTTAACATCTAACAGCAACCACATTTGACAATCTTAAGTAACTAGCAATTGAAGAATGCAATGATCTGACACCAAAAATAAATCTGTAAACGTGTTGCAAAATATATCACATATATTGGCATATTTCGCTTCTTATAACACATGTCTGCGATAACCTATATCAGTCCATAACGTGTCTGATGTGCTTAGAAAATCACCAGACGGAAGCTTAGACTGCACTATGACAACCTCCATGCAGACACGCGTGTATTCGTTCCTGCTTTGTAACTGTCACATCGAATAAACTCGATCACCATGAAACAGTCGTAAGTAATCACGTGATTGGAACAGAACAAAACCGATGTTCCAGCAAGCTATAAGTGTGGAAAATGTTCAGAAACCTACCCGAGCATTCATCTCTAACTAAAGTTCTGAAAAACATACGTAATACGATAAAAATACAAACGAGTAAATCCTGTACTCCAAACATAAATGAATGTTCACACTCACGAACGCACGCAAGAGCGTGCGTTGCTGTTGTTGCTACAATGTACTATAACTTAACATTCAATTTTGGATAATCTTGTCCTACCTCTCTCTGTTTGTACACTGAAGCTTCTTTTTATTGCTAGTGGGGTGGGACTAAGTCCCTTGTACTGCAGCCACTTCTGGCCTACTGTACCAGCCCCAGATGATAGGTGAGGGTGATTGTGGAGCAATTGGTGGAATGAAGATTGGCAGGGGAACCGAAGTACCAGGAGAAATCTGCCCCAGCGCCACTTTGTCCACCACAAATCCCACTTGACCAGACCCGGGATCGAACCCGGGCCGCCGCGGTGGGAAACCAGCGATTAACGGCTTGAGCTACGGCGCGGCCTACACACTGAACCTTACAGTCCTATCGTATCCGAATTGTGGGCTACGTCGCGGCCTCCATAAAAACAACCACCCCGCCACTCTCCTATCTTATTGAATTAACATTGCAAACACCAGTTATCATGTCCTTCAAATATCGCCTACGTAGTTTAAAAAAATCGGTCAGATACAGTTTATATTAATTGAATTATACATAGATTTAATGTAAGTGGGTCTATAATTCTTCCAAGAAACGTCTCAACATATATTTCACAATAAAATTTCCAGATATTACAAGTCGGAAGGTGGCGGGTTCAAATACCGATGAGGTCATTGGATTTTTTTCAATTGCCCTAATCCTTCCGGCCGCACTATGGCCCTGGGGTTCACTCAGCCTGTAACAGAAATGAGTACCAGGAATTAAATAAATAATTTTCCTGGGGAGTAAAGCGCGGCCGGCGCGTAAGGCTGACAACCTTACCGCCATCTTTGAGCCGATTGTCTAGATAATGTGGGTCCCTCAACGTCTCACAACCCTATGGGCCTTCACGGCCTGGTACAGGATAGCTTTAGTTTACTTTTACCTTTACTTTATCAGTATTAACAATAAACTCTTAATTACCGGGTTTTTGTACTTCTGTATCTGTTTGCGTCGTCAGGGGAGGGGGTGCGGAACATCTGTTCCGTCCATTACAAAACGCTAACCTCCAGGTCCAGTAATTGCGGTTTTTTTTCCTTGGCACTACAGCCCCAGTGGGCCTAGGCCTACCTCCATGAAATCCTCCGTTCACTTCGGTTTTTCTAGGTCTTACACATTCGGTAGGACTCCTTGGGCAGTTGATCAGCTCGTCGCAAGGCCTCTACCTGTACACAAACACTGAAAATCGCACACACAAAAACTAAACATCCATGCCCTGAGTGGGATTCGAACCCACGATCCCGGTTTCCAAACGAGCGAAGACAGTACATGCCGGTAATTGTGGTTAGTTTCCGAAAAGTTTTCTTTAGAACGCCAGATAATGAACGAACTCCAAAAATCTAGCAATCCAAAGCAAGTTGTTAAAACTAATAGCTGGAACTTTTATTGTAAGATGAGGAAGATGGGGATTACTATTATTTCTATGGTTCTATAGCACTTTGTTGGACGTTAGCCTCTTTTGTCTCAGCTTCCTGATTCTATACACAGACGACGGGAGTCCTTAGACAGGGTTGGATTCGAACCCACGATTCAAACGTTCGAGCGAACGAAAACAGTTAATGCCTTGGACTGCACGGCCACTGTCATCGGTACTGAATTATTACGAGTTCAATCTGTTAATAATGAAAATTAGAAGTGGCTCGTTCTTCCTGTCTTAATACAAAACGACCCATAACAACGTTACAATGCAAGAGTCAGCTTTAAAACTCGGAGAATAATATTTCGATTTTATTTCGAACTATCGTACTTGTACTGTGTACACGACAATTCGTCTGTAATTCACTAATTCTAGAGGACATGTAATATTAAATAAGCTGTCATATGAAGAAAGCAGTCTTCTGGGATTTGGCACCGTGTATATGTGGTGTTAACCGACGTTTCGGAGGAACGTATCGCCTCCATCTTCAGGGTAGAAGAAAAAATATAAGAAATCTGCAAGCGAAGAGNTGAATCACATTCAGTGTAGGATTTCTTTATAGAATTTTTCTTGATTCTAGATATAAAATATTTTTACTGCCTAAGGTTGCAATTACAGTAGAAACAACTGCTCAAAGCGGTGGTTGTACACGCTTCATTCAAGTAATATTTTAAAGAAACAACTTTGTTATTTTCCTTTGAAGCAAGAAAAAATATGTGAAATAAGAGTACGCACACAGTCACAAGATCTGGATTCGTGGAAGAGGCACGTTTACATTTCACGAGCTGCTTTGAAATTATTAGCAGCGAAACTGGCAACTGCTAAGTTTTACCGCAAGTGAAATTTTTCTTCTTCTAATTTTCTAATTTTGGAACAATGTTTTACTTCTGAGACAACCACAGAGAAGAAATAATTGCGGCAAAAGTTAGTTAAGAAAGGTAAATTGTCCCTGTGCTTAACTAATTAAGCACTACGCCATGAACGCGTATGGGGGACTGGATCTACAGATCCACAGTTTCTTAACCTCGGCACTCTCTGAAAGTGAGTGGTCAGCTTTACGCCCCTCCTAATTTGCTCCAGGGGGAAGATCCCACGGTACCCATTGAATAGGAGGCTGGATGGGCCCCAGAGCTGATCTGGAGGATATCGAGAACAGAAAATTCTGACCCTACTGGGACTCGAACTCCGACCCCCTCAGTAGTCAAGCCCGTAGGCAGTCGCTATACCGACTGCGCTGCCCCGGCAAACAATCATTTCGGCAAGAGAAAGTTAAATTACTAGGCACGTATGATCTCTACAATTTCGGGAGATTTTGCCAGGCATTTATTTAGAAGCTGAACAAAATGGGATTATAACTGGGAGAAACGTCGGCCCAAAATGAAGATTGGCAGGGGAAACCGAAGTACTCGGAGAAAACCCGCCCCACTGCCACTTTGTCCACCACAAATCCCACTTAACCAGACTCGGGATCGAACCCGGACCGCCGCGGTGGAAAGCCAGCGACTAACGGCTTGAGCTATGGCGCTGCCCTCTGGTCGTGTGTTACTTCTTGTACCGTATCCCTCTGCATGACCAGTATTAATGTGGGTCTATCTCCCTGTCTCTCTTTGACTCCACAGCCCTTGTGGATCTTGGCCGCTTTTCAGTTTCTTAATATAAACACAGAAGAGATGACTCCTTGGACGGGGGATCAGCCATTCCCAAGGCCGCTACCTACACACAGAACAACACAAATAGGACAT